CTGAAATCTGACAAGATCAGGCTAGGCGGGGGCTATCCAGGTCAGGAGCCCTCCCTTATACGGCAAAATTATTTTCGTTAATAATCATGAAGTGGATGATAATAACAGTGGCCAGAAAATAGATTCAGTTGGGTCGCCGTGTTGGTCTGAAGAAGAAGAAGAGGAGGAGATTGGATTTATACCCCGCCCTTCACTTGGAGTCTCAGAGGGGCTCACAAACTCCTTTCCCTTCCCCTCCCCACAACAGACACCCCTTGAGGTGGGTGGGGCTGAGAGAACTCTGACACAAACTGCTCTTTTTCAAGGACAGCTGTGCCAGAGCTTGTCACTGACCCAAGGTCACATCAGCAGGTGCAAGTGGAGGAGTGGGGAATCAAACCCGGTTCTCCCAGATTAGAGTCCACGCACTTAACCACGACACCAAACTGGTGTAGCAGCAGAACAAAGTTTGGTCTTCAAGGTGCCCCCGGACCCAAACTTGGTATTCGGTGGCCAGAAAAGAAAGGCTGACAGTGAACGTTTTCTTGTATTGAACTTCATATATATAATCGTGCCTGGGACCCACATATCTAAGGGATTGCCTCTTCCCGTATACGCCTCGAAGAGCTTTACGCTCTAGTAATCGACGTCTCCTGGAGGTCCCTGGCCCAAAAGACGTCCGTCTAGCCTCGACCAGGGCCAGGGCCTTCTCTGCCCTGGTCTATCTATCTGCCACCGGCCATATCCATCCGTATTAATGGCTCGGAACTTTCACCAGCAGCTACACCTCCTGAGATATATATATATATATATATATATCTCCTGTAATAAAAATGAAGTGGTTGTCTTCCAGTATTGTTGCTTGATGTGTAGGGTAATAAACCGTGGGCAAACGTGGGATCAAAGACTGCTTGGCCTTCGCTAACTGGTTACATTTGCATTTAATCCCATGGCTCGAGATGTTTAGGTCATATTTAAACCATAAAATACTTTCCACATTTCAAAACGTATGACATTAATTTCGAGGCACACATACAAAAAGGGGAATGCTGCAGTTTTATTTGGCTAATTTAAAAATAATTACAGCTTCTGGTATAGCACCTTTTTTGGGGGGGGAAATGTGTTTTGAATTCTAAAGGAAGCAATTGGCAGAGAGCTATTTTCAGCTCTTTTATTATGCCAGCATTTTGGAGAAACTTCAACACGACAGAAACGATGGACGAACAGAAATAGCTTTTTGTCGGCTCTCTTCGGTAGTGGATACTACCGCTAACTAGAAGTCCTTTTTTTATGATTTGCTCTTTTGAAATGTCATTTCGTGGGGTATTATTATTATTATTTTGAAAATTCAAGAAGGAACATCTCCAAACACCTTCAGAAGGAGTTGAAGTGCCTCAGTCTTAGCATGTGACCCATTCTCCATACTTCAACAGGAAGAGATCCTGTTCTACTTAATTGGGATCCCCTTTTGCTCCAACCTAGCAGTTCGAAAGCAAGAAATTGCAAGTAGATAAATAGGGACCACTTCGGCGGGAAGGTAACAGCCTTCCGTGCGCTTTGGCATGTAGTCATGCCAGCCACATGACCATGGAAATGTCTTTGGACAGCGCTGGCTCTTCAGCTTGGAAACAGAGATGAGCACCGCCCCCTAGAGTCGGATTTGACTGGCTTTCGAACAAGGGAAACCTTTACCTTTACTTCGCTCCGTTTACTGTATTCTGAAGGGTGCATAGGAATGTTCAGCATAGCATGGTAACCTGCATTACATGGTCCCTGAGAGGACAGCTGGGTCTACATATGAAGGGTGGGCAGGGTCACCCATGGAAGGTTATGGCCGTACACATTGGCAAGTGCCCAACACTGTGTGTTCCTGTTGTTGTTCAGTCGCACAGTTGAGTCTGACTCTTCGTGACTCCATGGACCCCATCACGCCAGGCCCTCCTGTCTTCCGTCGTCCTCCGGAGTTTGCCCAGTTTCATGTTCGTTGCCTCGATGACACTGTCTAACCATCTCATCCTTTGCCGTCCCCGTCTTCTTTGACCTTCAATCTTTCCCAGCATCTGGGTCTTCTCCAGTGAGTGCTCCCTTCTCATTGGGTGGCCATCCCAAACATCTAGCCAAACATAAATTGTTTCTCTGATATCAAGCTGGTGGAACTGAGCTAACCATGAGGGCAACAAACAGAGGCAAGAAGAAGTGTAGTTTTTTTATATCTCACTTTTCTCTACCTTAAGGAGTCTCAAAGCCGCTTACAATCACATACCACCACAGACAGGTAAATGCGTTGCCCACGTACATGTTAAAATGCGTTCGGAAAGATCAAAAGAGCCTTTCCAACGAGGGCCTCATACGAAAAGGGTCAGTTAAAAACCTTGAATGAGGTTTTTCTATAAGTTCTATAAGTCTGGCTGTAGATCATATCAATCTGTTTGACAGGAGCCGACAGCTCAGAGCGCCAGTAGAGTGGGATCCAACCGGTTCTGTCTAGTTGATGGCAGAGCTAATTAACAGTGACTCAGCATTGGGTCCTGATTGGACAATGCTTGTATAAATGTGATGCTGTACAATGTACTATCCTTCCTGATGGAAACCTGGTGTCTGCGTGAGCATTTTGTCGTTCTGTGCAATATATTGGTGGAGGCTCGTGTAAATAAATTGTATATAGTTTTACACCAAGCCTATAAGACTTACGTCTTCTTTGATACTCTCACACCACTCGCAACCTGTAGTGGGCTAGCACCGCGCAAACCTCGACAGTGTGTGTGTGTGTGAGAATTTCCAATACCTATGGTGTGTGTGTGTGGGGTACTCCCTTTGAACAAGATATTCTAGTTGCCTGTGTTAGTCTGCGCAGGTAATGAGGTTGCATTGTACAACATGGTTCACCAACTGACTTGGATAAATGACTGGGGCTGTCGTCTATACTGCTGCATATTGCTTGTTGGAAGCAGGATCCTATTATATAATTTCTGGACCACTTGATATGTCGTGCTAATAATATGTCTATGCCTCAGCTCTTTCTGGTGGTTCCAGACTTCTAAAATCCTAATGCATTGGCTACTGAATGCCCTGTTTTGTTGATTGTACCGACTCACCATGTGTGGTCTGTCCTGAGTTCCTGCAAGAAAGGCAGACTACAAATAGCAGTAGAAAAGAGCAAGAGTCCAGTAGCACCTTATAGACTAACAAAATTTGTACATAAGTACATAAGAGAAGCCAATGTTGGATCAGGCCAGTGGCCCATCCAGTCCAACACTCTATCACACAGTGGCCAGAAATACCAGGTGCCCTCAGGAGGTCCACCAGCGGGGCCAGGACACTAGGAGCCCTCTAGTGTAGGAGCTTTCGTGAGTCGCTGCTCACTTCTGAAGACGTTTGAGCAGTGACTCACGAAAGCTCACCACCCCCTGCCACAAATTTTGTTAGACTATCAGGTGCTACTAAGCTCTTGCTCTTTTCTGCTGCTACAAACCGACTAACATGGCTACCCAGCTAGATCTATAAATAGTGCAATTTTTAAAAAAATAGAGCAATAATCTATCAATTGCTTTATGTCATCTTTTTGTGTTTGTTTCTAATTCCACACAGTAGGGTAAGGCCTGTATCACCTTCCACTTTAATACTACCTTGTTAGCCTGATATATTTCACATGTGTCTTACCTTTCTTCCTTGGGACATGAGGCAGCATACATATTGGTTGAGTAGTCCAAGCACTTGAGTGTCTTGAGAGTCCCTTGGACTGCAAGAAGATCAAATCAGTCAATCCTAAAAGAAATCAACCCTGACTGTTCCCTGGAAGGCCAGATAATGAAACTGAAGCTCCAATACTTTGGCCACCCAATGAGAAGGGAGCACTCACTGGAGAAGAAGACCCTGATGCTGGGAAAGATTGAAGGTCAAAGAAGACGGAGACGGCAACGGATGTGCCGGTTAGACAGTGTCATCGATGCAACGAACATGAAATTGAGCAAACTTCAGAGGACGGCGGAAGACCAGAAAGCCTGGCATGATCTGGTCCATAGGGTCGCGAAGAGTCGGACTCGACTGTGCGACTGAACAACAACAACAAGTCCAAGCACTGATTAGGCCCAAATTTTCTTAGCATCAGCAAGGTTGCTGCATCTTATGCTTTCAGACTCTTCTCTGCTTTGACCTGGATAGCCCAGGCTAGCCCGATCTCATTGGTTTTTGGGAGCTAAGCAGGGTTGGCCCCAGCTAGTCTTTAAGTGGGTGACTTCCAAGGGACACCAAGGGCGTGATGCAGAGGCAGGCAATGGCCAAACCACCTTTGAAATGTCTCTTGCCTTGGGAAAAAAAACCCTAGTGTTGCACAATGCTAAGATAGCTAGATCTTCTGGCTGCCAGGCAATCTTAGGATCTCCTGGCTATACTGCACATAATGCCATACAATAATCAATTAATTAATTAGACTATTCTCTTGGGCTGGTACCCTTCTGTGGAGATCTGTATCTATTATACCTTTCAAGTTGCCTCTTGGTAACCATTGTAAAAAGGTAAAGGTTCCCTTGCTCGAAAGCCTGTTGAATCCGACTCTAGAGTTGCGGTGCTCATCTCCGTTTCCAAGCCGAAGAGCCAGCGCTGTCTGAAGACGTTTCCGTGGTCTTGTGGCCGGCGTGACTAGACACCAAGGCACATGGAACGCTGTTACCTTCCCACCAAAGTGGTACCTATTTCTCTACTTGCAATTTCTTGCTTTCAAACTGCTAGGTTGGCAGGAGCTGGAACTAGAGACGGGAGCTCACTCCGTCATGCGGCACCCGGGTCTCAAACTGCTGAACTACTGACCTTTCACAACCTGCAGTTCAGCGTCTTAACCACTTGAGCCACCGGAGCTCCGGTAACCATTGTACGAGTTGTCTTTTGCTGAAACCGCATATATGGAATTTGTTCATGATGTAATTTTTCTTTTGGATACCCTTGTCTTGTTTAGGAGACATTGGTAAGACATTTGCAAACTCATTTTTCCCATGTTCTTTTTTTTAAACCCTGTTTCTACTCAGGTTCACCTTTTCTAGCCAATGAGGACGGTGTTCTTGGTGGAGTGATAGTTCTTCGGTCTTGTAGATGTTCTGCAGAAGCCAACTCCTCCCAGGATAAGCAGTCACTGCTAGGTAAGAAGGTGATGAAAGCCCTACATAAATTTTTTTAAAGAGTCAGTTGACATCGAGCTTTTTGATAAGATGTATTAAAGCTTTCGAGCAAGGGAAACCTTCACCTTTACCTCTTTATTAAATATATTATAGTTTTTATCAGTTATCATTTCCAAACACAGTTGTTTGGAAAGCTGGATTGTGCTCTGCTTTAAACTTGTCACCAGAAATCTGGAGCACCTCAAATGTGATAAAAAGGAGATGCGGAGGATGGAATTGTACATGGCCAAGAACGAATAGACCACCTGTGTTGAATATCATTAGGCTCTCCTGAAAGGGACACATGGATAATCCCACCTCTCTCTCTCTCTCTCTCTCTCTCTAATGGACTTTCCCTTTGTGATGGAACCCAATGACATCATCGTCAGCTTGCATTGTTCCAGTTCTGTGGCAGGGGCACTGGCTACCAATTGGACTCTGCATCCAATTCAAGGTGTTGGTGTTAACCTCTGAAGCCCTTAATGGTCTGGGACCCTCATACCTATGGGACTGCCTCTCCTGTTGCAACCTCCCACACTCCCTTCGGTCATTGTCTAGGGGCCTCTGGCAGGTACCTGACCACAGGATGGCTCGGTTAGCTGCCACCAGGGGAAAGGCCTTCTCAGTTGTGGCCCCTACCTTGTGGAAAGCGCTCTTGGATGACACCTCTGCCCTGCCAAACTTGTTTCATTTCCGCAGGGCATGCAAGGCTGAATTGTTTAGTTTGGCCTTGGGAGAGTAACCATATGTTAGAGCTGTTTTATCAGTAGTACGGTGATAGCCACATATTTTAATAATGTAATATTTTAATGCCCAAATCTTATATTCGTTATTTGTTTTTATGCGTGGTTTTTTTAAACCTTGGTAGTTTTAATGTCGTAAGTCGCCGTGAGACCCCTTGGGTGAGCGGCAACTAAAAAAAAATCTAATAAGCAGATAAATAAATCTGAAGGCCCTTAAGTCAAATTGAACACAAATTATGTATTCATTCTTTATGTTCAGGGATAAATTTATTTAAGGGGGCAGACTGTATCTTAGTGTCTCTGGGTATGATCAAAGCACAGTTGTTCACCTGGAGTGACTCTGTGCAGGTGTTCGAGGCTGCAGTGAGGTTCTTCTGCCATTGTCTCCGTAACGGTGTGGCTCCCACTGGCCGCGGGAGTTTATTTTATTTAAGACATTGATTAGCTGCCTTTTTTTTCTTTACAGAGCTTGAGGCAGCGTACAATATTAAAAATACATCAAATAAAGTACATAAAAATATATATATAACGACAGTTTAAAATCACCATTTAGAACGGCTTTCATCAAATGTAGTCCTAAATAGTTCCATCTTCAGCTGCCTCCTAAAGATTGAAAGCGAGGGGGGCCGGGCGCACCTCTCTGTGGAGATTGCCCCATAATCGTGGGGCTGCCACTGAAAAGTCCCCCTCTCCTGTACCCACCAAATAAGGTTCTTTGATTGATGGGACTGTCAGGAGCCAGTTTGGTGTCATTGTTGAGTGCGCGGACTCTAGTCTGGGAGAACCAGGTTTGATTCCCCACTCCTCCACTTGCAGATGCTGGTGTGACCTTGGGCAAGCCGTAGTTCTGACGAGCTGTCCTTGAAAAAAGAGCAGTTTCTATCAAGAGCTCTCTCAGCCCCACCTCCCTCGCAGGGTGTCTGTTGTGGGGAGGGGAAAGGAAAGGAGTTTGTAAGGCGCTCTGAGACTCCAAGTGAAGGACGGGGTATAAATCCAATCTCTTCTCTTCTTCCTTGTGATCTTGATTTCCGGGCAGAGAACGGTCCCCCAGATACCCCAAGCCCAAGCTTTAAAGGTCAAAACCAATGCCTTGAATTGGGTTTGGGAGTGGGGTATAGGCCAGTGTAATTGTGGTAGCGTCGGTCACATCGGTCACGTCCTCCTGATACCTGGCCCTGACCGGCAGTCTAGCTGGAATGTTTCCTTCTGCAAGACGAACGTCAGTGGCCAGTGTAATTGTGGTAGCGTCGGTCACATCGGTCACGTCCTCCTGATACCTGGCCCTGACCGGCAGTCTAGCTGGAATGTTTCCTTCTGCAAGACGAACATGCCGATACTATATCAAAGGAAACTGCAGCAAAGACATCTTGGAACCTCTGCTGTCCAGGCTTTGGCAATCGGTCCCCTTATTTGACCGATTCCAGCAGGTAATTTTTAATGCCATCTTGAGCAGAGTGGTATCCTTGTAAGTCTGTTGGCTTCAATGGACTGAAAATGGCGGGACTCTGACTAGGATAGCACTGCTGGTAAGTTTCTTAAGCTCCAGGCTTTTATTTTGAAGTTATATTACTGACATGGGGTATATGCCTAAAAATTTAGCATGGAGTTCATGGATGCCCCCCACCCCCAGCCAGAGCAAGCATATGAAAGAACATAACTCAGTTGGGCATAAAGCAAGAGGTGCACTCTTTGCTTAATGAGTTTGCCAGTCAGATTTGTATCGAGTCTGACACACAAGTAAGATTATTTAAATTTATTTTATTTGCAAGGTTTCTATCCCGCCTTTCTGCTCTCACAAGGGTCTCCAAGGGGGGCTAACCATTTATAGGAGGGGGAACCATGAATAAACAGGAGGAGAAAACCATTAAAATCGCCCCATTCCCAAACACACTTAAGAACATAAGAACATCAGAAGAGCCCTGCTGGATCAGACCAGTGGTCTATCTAGTCCAGCCTCCTGTCTCACACTGTGGCCGACCAGTTCTTCTGGAGGGCCAACAACAGGACATAGAGGCCGAGGCCTTCCCCTGATGTTGCCTCCTAGTTCTGGGATTCAGAGGTTTTTAAGAACATCAGAAGAGTTCTGCTGGATCAGACCAGTGGTCTATCTAGTCCAGCCTCCTGTCTCACACTGTGGCCGACCAGTTCCTCTGGAGGGCCAACAACAGGACATAGAGGCTGAGGCCTTCCCCTGATAAGAACATCATAAGAGCCCTGCTGGACCAGACAAGTGGTCCATCTAGTCCAGCCTCCTGTCTCGCACAGTGGCTAGCCAGTTCCTGTGGAGGGCCAACAACAGGGCATAGAGGCTGAGGCCTTCATCAGAACATGCAAAGAGCCCTGCTGAATCAGAGCAGTGGTCCATCTAGTCCAGCATCCCATCTCACACAGTGGCCAACCAGTTCCTCTGGAGGGCCAACAGCAGGGCAGAGAGGCCGAGGCCTTCCCCTGAGGTTGCCTCTTGGCTCTGGGATTCAGAGGATTGGTGCCTCTGAATGTGGAGGTTCCCCTCAGCCACCGTGGCTCGTAGCCATTGATAGACTTATCCTCCGTGAATCTATCCAATCCCCTTTTCAAGCTGTTTATTCCCGTGGCCATCACTACAGGGAATCCCACATTTTAATCGCTCTCTGTGTAAAGAAGTATTTCCTGTTTTGTTCACCTATTTCTCACCAGCTTCATTGGATGCCCTTTAGTCTTTTGGGACGGAGAGAAAAATTTTCCTTTGTCAACTTTCTCCACCCCGGGCATAATTTTATAAACCTCTCTCATGGATGGGCCTTTGGCCTGATCCAACATTGGCATATCTTATGTTCTTATGTTCTTATGTCTCTTTTATGGACGGAAAAATCCCAGAAACTTTCCAGCCTTTCCTCCTAGGGAAGTTGCTCCAACCCCCTCTCATCATCTTGGTTTGCCCTCCTCTGTACTTTTCCCAGTTCATTGAGACAAATCAAAAACAGAGTTAATATGCATGCAAAGACATAAGGACAGCAGTTAAAACGTTAGTTCGGAAGGAGTGATCACTGAGGGAATGCCAAGCAAAAAAAAACACTCTTCACACACACACACACACACACACCATCAGAAGCCAGCAACAGAAGGGGACAGACAAAACTCCCAGGGGTTTTTTCCAGAGCTCTGTGTTCACCAGTAACGTTATTTCCTTTTTATGTAGAATATTTCCGTGCAGTATATCTCTGCAGAAATGCCGAAATATACGTCCACACCTGCCTTTCAGCTCAGACTGACGCCGTTCTCAGTGGCGTAGCTTTCCCGTCACTTCACAGTTAAGGCCGATTCCCTCGTGGGATCTTCTATTTATTGCATTGATTTTATTAATTCAATTTATATTCCGACCTCCTTGCCAGCAGGCTCGGGGCGGATCACGGTAGGATCCTAAAACACGTAAACAGAACTCACAGAATAATTAAAAACAATTTCAAGTAGCCTCGATTTAAAAAGAGAAAACGCAAAATAGGTTGCCCCGTTTCATTATATACATTATTTTCTAGCTGGCGCCATTGAGTCTGTAAGATCTGATGGGTCCAGGCTGCATTGGTTTGGTAGGCTTTAATTTCAGCAGGGGAGGCCGAGTTTTCTATTGGGCACCCGCCACCTCAGCCAAAGGCCTGGCAGCAATAAGTTCCGCAGGGCCCTGATCTCAGGCAGGAGCATGTTCCACCAGGCTGGGGCCAGGGCAGAAAAAGCCCCGGCCCTGGTCAAGGCTAAGTGGGCATCCCTTGGGCCGGGGACTACCAGCACTTTTGATACAGTTCCACTGTTGCGAGAACATAAAATGCCAGTTTAACACGCAGAGTTGAGCATGCGTTTTTACATGTCACGGGCAAAGTGCGAGCACAGTTTATGTGCCAGGCTAACCACTGGGCATCAGCCAGACCGATTTCCCACCAGCGGCTGTGCCGCCCTCGCTATTCCCTTTCCCCCGATTATATCCGTCCATTTCCCACTACTTGCCGTGCGGCCGCATTTTGACCCGCAGCATCCCCTGATTTCCCCCGTGTCTTCTCGATCCTTGTTTTTTGAGATCAAGAAGATGCGAGGGAAATCGGGGGATGCTGCAGGTCAAAATGCGGCCGCGCAGCAAGAAGTGGGAAATGGACAAATTTTTGCTTTGAACTCAGCTGTCGCGATAGGATTTTGAAAGTATTTGAGTTTGTCTGCTTATGTATTTTGATCTCTTAATGGAATGAAAGGCTTGTTGGGGCGCTTTCACACATGCTGAGCAAATGCCGTTTCAGTCCACTTCAGCGGCCGTTTGCAAGTGGATTTCTCCATTTCACAAAGTAGAATCCAGTTGCAAAGTAAAGAAGAAAGAGGAGATTGGATTTATACCCCGCTGTGACGACCTCTTATCTTGGGTCTTTAGGCTTTCAAGGGACTATGTGTTCCTCAGGATGTATTTATTTCAGAGCTGGTATACTTGAATGAAATAGGATTTATTTAAATAAAGCATAAATACGAGGGTAGAACCATGTAACTAGTAAAGTAGGTATAACACACAGTTTGCTCCCTACTGACAGGGATTTTTCATAGGTAACTTTGTAACACTTTTCCTTCAAGTCCATATAATCTTTACTGTTTCCTAGACTCTCAGCTTTCAGCTTATAACTCCTATAACACAGAACTGAATGTCTCTCCTTTCACACACAAATATTTAACTCAGAACTCTTATATCATACAAGACTGCTTCACTCTTTTCATACACAGGACCAACTTATCCCACACAGGGATGTGTCTCCTTCTCTCAAGAGACAGAACTTAACTGACTGCCTGTTTAACTGTCCTCATCAACTGTCTAAACTGTAACTCTTGACTGACATACAAATCATCCACACAGCATCACTTCCAAAACCCCTCCCCCTTTCTGCCAATCACCAATCACACCACTTGCCTGTTTCAACCACTCTAGACTATCTCTCATCGCCATGCAACCAAACTTTTAAACACACACACACACACAGTTAAACATGAAATCATTACACCCGCCCTTCACTCGGAGTCTCAGAGTGGCTTGCAATCTCTTTCCCCTTCCCCTCCCCACTGGTGAGGTAGGTGGGGCTGAGAGAGCTCTTTCAAGAACTGCTCTTTCAAGGACAGCTGTGCCAGAGCTTGTGACTGACCCAAGGTCACATCAGCAGCTGCAAGTGGAGGAGTGGGGAATCAGACCTGGTTCTCCCAGATTAGAGTCCGCGTACTTAACCACTACATCAAACCAGCTCTCAATAAGTGCATTGAAAGCAGATTGAAAGTGCATTATTTAGTGCGTGAAAGCGCTCTAAGTTACAGTACTTGGGGAAACACAAAAATCTTTAGTTGTCTGGATTTATTCGTTAGAATAT